TCAATTTTATCATTACATAAAAAGCAAACTCTTTCAGGTACAGTTTTGTTTTCATAGCGAACTTTTTTGACATGTTCCCAATTTTGATATATTGGATTTGTCGGGCACATTGAAAAACTAATTAGAACTTAGCTAATTTGCATAGCAGCCATTTTGGATTTCTCTGCCGACAGTCATTTCAAAGCATACATTTGTGAATAAAAATGCAAATATTCTCATAATTTGTCCGCATAGAGCCAAGTTCTACAATTTGCTTTCTTTTTGTGTACAAATGAACACTGTCAACATTACAAATTTGCAGCCTTTTCAGTTTAAAAAACCGAAGCGTAACCGTAGTATGACTGCTATATAAAATAACCAAAGTTTCTTGAAAGTCATTAAAAAATGCAGATTTAAACTAGAATTAGAGATACAGGGGAGAGAGCATACATGATTTGTCCGCATATAGAGAAACACTTTGGAGGATGACTTTTTTTTGTTAAATCCTTTCATAAGGACCGAGAACACAGTTATTTCGTAGTGCATTTCTTTCAGACAAAAATGCAAATTAAAAAAATCGCACCTGCTCGCAATTTTTTTACATGTAATTTCATACACGTACTTACTATTTTAGGCATAAAATATAAATAATAAATTTGGAAGTTGTATGAAAAAAAATTGCAAGTTATACACTGTCCACACTAGGGACTCTATTCCTACGAAAATCAAAGGACGATAACTGTGTCCCCGGACCTAATAGGATAGAAAGACTTGACCAATTTTAATAAAACTTTGCATGAACTAAGATTAGGGAATTATAGTACAGTTTACAAAGTTTCATGGCAATAGAATATATATGAGAGACCATATGGTCATTCTTATATTTGAACTTTGGGTGTTTATTTTTGACGTTTAAATCGAACAATTTCAACTATCAAGATTTGGGCCTACAAAATTCAAATATTGCAATAAATTACTTTTTAAATGCCTAAATATATAATGTAGCTTGTATTTAAAGCAGCTGAATATTCAATTGATGTATCAGATTTATAACTATTCAAAAGTCAAATTTATATGAGCCTGTGCCTGAAAATAGAGATTTTCCAATGAAAGGGGAAGGGGGGGGGGGGGCGGGGGGCTTATATAAAATTGTAGTTTTGTCCACCAAATTAAAATGTGTGAAGTAATTTTGCTATAAATAATTCTTTCATATTTATTTAATGTACTTTAAATGGAAAGAAAAGTTACAAATAGCATACCACATGAGTATAAAATGGTCCTGGCCATGTAAGACTAAACATAATTTAGGGTCAATTTAGGCTGTAACACATAATTACATATAAAAATGCATATAGAAACTATAGGAAATAGAAATTTGTTTCTTTTTTGGTCATTTCTATGCTAACGTGACATGATACAAGAAGTCTGAGTGCAAAAGAACTCTTGCATTCAACTTTTTTTGCAGACAGTATACTCTGATGCTAAGTTTTTTCATTTTTCAGGGGAAAACTTTCGTGTAATTTTAGTCTCAATAGGCATATATCTGAACCACTTACTATCCTACAGAAGAAAAAAAGGTGTCATATGAAAGGAAGCAGGAACAACAATCATTGTAAAGTGCTTTTTATACAGATTTAGTGAACTCTTTATAATGGACTTCAATTTTTATGTACATAGCTCATTACATTTCACTTCCTTCAAACAGGCCGTAAGACCAGGACCATAAATACAACACATTTTGCACATTTTTTCTGTGATAATCTACTTTTCTCTACATTCAGGGTTCACATATGATTATAGAAACTTGAAATAACCATAGAAACACAAATATCAAAACATGAACACCTGTCAGATAGAAAGTCGGCTAGCTCCTCAGGCATATAAATGGAAATGGCTTTAAAATGCTTATTTCAGCAATATAATGCAAAAATTGGACATTAAAGATTTAAATTCTTTAATTTTATTCAGTTTGACAAGTTGATACCCTCAAATCATCCAGGGAAGTTGCCAAAGTACAGAATCAACATTTATTACCTCTTAGGCCCGAGAACACAATTATTTCGTAGTGCATTTCTTTTAGACAAAAAATGCAAATTAAAAAAATCGCACTTGCTCTATCAAGAAAAAGATTTTTACAGTGTAGTGTACTGCTTTTGGAACAAGTTATATCAAAATTATAGAAAAGTCTATCGGCTCTAACTCAAAATATGGATAATTTATGATAAGGAGGTCTGTTATTCAGTTTGACAGCTTCAAACATACTAATTTTTGACCTTTTCAAACTGGACCAAATCACTACTTTACCTAAAAATTCATGCACCAAATTTTTTTACATGTAATTTCAACCATTAGCACTGCCGTTTGAGCTGTATAGAATGCTCGTAAAAAGCGTAAAAAAATGCAGGTTTGCCATTTTTAAACAACGTAAAGTTAAGAGCTTCTAAAATTTTAGTTACGCTTATCCTTGAGAAATCATGACTTCCAGTTACGAGCATCATAGCGAGAAAAACATCGCATTGTTCCTCTATGTCAAATAATATGCAAGTAAATCTAGGAAAAATGAATATTATACAAATACATAATTAACTTTTTGTTGTTTAGAATCAACAAACGTTTGAGCTGCATCGGATAAAAATCTACCATTTGCATGTGCATGTATACATGTACATGTATGAGACTTTAATTGATTTTAGAACATTCAATTACGAAATAAAACATGTTTTTTTTGTCTGCTTTGTAGGGTTCTTACAACAACTAAATTTTCAAACAGTTACAGACTTTCCGTAGAGATTTTTTCAACTTGAAATAGGTTAACAGATGTATTGATATTCAATAATGGGTCTTCAACGAAGCGGAAAAATCCCGCAACTGGAGGCGGGCTTCAGCTGGCCCCAAAGCAATAATGTACTAGTTCAGCGAAATGGACGCAACACTAAACTCTGAAACATACAAATGAAGCAAAATTAAATTAAACGTTATAAAATTGAAATAAAAGTAAGATGCAATATACGTTCTTCAAATATTTAAAGACATTGAAAAAGTACACAACCAAACTCTTTACCTACTTTTGTACTTAATTAATCGGTTGCATTATATACATGCATGCAATATTTTGGAAGACTAAATCGTGGCTCTTTCCACTTGCACAATTATGGAAAAGTCCATAATATGTGTGCATTAAAATCAATAAAAAGTATTTTGTATCCCATTTTTCCTTGAAATGCCATTCATAAGTCCAATAAATGCTAAACAAAAGATAGCAATGAATGTGGTTTTTAATTTGATAGATGCTTTTGTGCCTTTTTTGTAAATAATTGTTTGTTTTGATATTGTAACACAGTGATGACTGCTGTACCCATATTTTGACTATTTTATTTATAATGTCTGTTATGTTCACGCATCGTTGTAAATATAACGGAATTTGATAAGACTGTCGTACAAGTGAGAGGTTTAGCGCTATAAAACCAGGTTCAATCCACCATTTTCTACATTTGAAAATGCCTGTACCAAGTCAGGAATATGACAGTTGTTGTCCATTCGTTTGATGTGTTTTGTCATTTGATTTTGCCATGTGATTAGGGACTTTCCGATTCTTGAAAGTCATTAAAAAATGCAGATTTAAACTAGAATTAGAGATACAGGGGAGAGAGCATACATGATTTGTCCGCATATAGAGAAACACTTTGGAGGATGACTTTTTTTTGTTAAATCCTTTCATAAGGACCGAGAACACAGTTATTTCGTAGTGCATTTCTTTCAGACAAAAATGCAAATTAAAAAAATCGCACCTGCTCGCAATTTTTTTACATGTAATTTCATACACGTACTTACTATTTTAGGCATAAAATATAAATAATAAATTTGGAAGTTGTATGAAAAAAAATTGCAAGTTATACACTGTCCACACTAGGGACTCTATTCCTACGAAAATCAAAGGACGATAACTGTGTCCCCGGACCTAATAGGATAGAAAGACTTGACCAATTTTAATAAAACTTTGCATGAACTAAGATTAGGGAATTATAGTACAGTTTACAAAGTTTCATGGCAATAGAATATATATGAGAGACCATATGGTCATTCTTATATTTGAACTTTGGGTGTTTATTTTTGACGTTTAAATCGAACAATTTCAACTATCAAGATTTGGGCCTACAAAATTCAAATATTGCAATAAATTACTTTTTAAATGCCTAAATATATAATGTAGCTTGTATTCAAAGCAGCTTAAATTGAAATAAAAGTAAGATGCAATATACGTTCTTCAAATATTTAAAGACATTGAAAAAGTACACAACCAAACTCTTTACCTACTTTTGTACTTAATTAATCGGTTGCATTATATACATGCATGCAATATTTTGGAAGACTAAATCGTGGCTCTTTCCACTTGCACAATTATGGAAAAGTCCATAATATGTGTGCATTAAAATCAATAAAAAGTATTTTGTATCCCATTTTTCCTTGAAATGCCATTCATAAGTCCAATAAATGCTAAACAAAAGATAGCAATGAATGTGGTTTTTAATTTGATAGATGCTTTTGTGCCTTTTTTGTAAATAATTGTTTGTTTTGATATTGTAACACAGTGATGACTGCTGTACCCATATTTTGACTATTTTATTTATAATGTCTGTTATGTTCACGCATCGTTGTAAATATAACGGAATTTGATAAGACTGTCGTACAATGTATTTATAAAGGTTACTCGGGAACACGTGTATTTGTTTACTTTTAACACGTGTGTTTAAATCAAAACATGTTTATGTTTAATTTGATTGGACCATCAGTAAGTTATTACCGGTTTAAGTTATATCAATCATGATAACTTCATGCTAGAATTTTAGCGCTAAAATTATAATAAGATATCTAGAATTGTCATTCGAGGTTCGCCTATCCGACAGAAAGGTTCGTTTTTTCTTAAATCGCCACTTGGTAAAATGTCCGAATCTTCTCCACGTCTGGAATTGAATGAAGACATACTACTCGAAGGAGATAATAGTTTACCGCCACCTAAATCTCGCCAGCAACCTTACCCAAAAAATCCGCCTCGTCAACAACCTGCGGAATCTTATGGTAACCCTGCTTACGCTCAGCATTATCAACGTAATCAGCAACAGCCCTTTCGTGGGAGCTTCGCAAGGCGTGAGCCTTGCTCAATCGACACGTGCCACTACTGCAAGCAACAAGGCCACTGGAGAAAAAACTGTCCTCTTCTCGCCAGTCTCAGGTCATCTAACAGCAACTCCACAACCTACCAGAAGTAGTAAAGTAGGGCCTGAACGTCACTCTCCAGTCATTGTGAATGATAAGTATTTAGACACTATTAATGACCAATTTTCTACATGTTTTGTTGATAACGATTATATAGAATCTTTTTTAGATCAAGTTCAATATTTTGAAAATTGTCAGTCATATGATAAATTTAAAGGGGTGAAAGGTAGATTAGCTTGTCATGTAAAGTATTGGGAAAATATAGGTGCTTGTCCTTTTGTGCTTGATACAATAAAAAATGGTTATGTTATTCCATTTATAGATACACCTTTTAAAATGTACCACAGAAATAATAGATCAGCACGGCAGAATACTGAATTTGTCACAAAGTCAATTGAAGATTTAGTTCAAATAGGTTGCGTAATTAAAGTGCCTTTTCAACCATATGTGGTAAATCCATTGAGTGTTGCTACTCAAAAGTCCGGTAAGAAACGACTTATTTTAGATATGAGTCAATTGAATAAACACATAAAGCGCGAAAAAATAAAATTTGAGGATTGGAAGTTAGCTATACAATATTTTGACAAAGATATGTATCTGTTTAAGTTTGATTTAAAATCTGGTTATTTTCACTTAGACATATGCTCACAGCAACAGACTTTCTTAGGTTTTCAGTGGGAAAGTCAATTTTATTGCTATACTGTTTTAGCTTTCGGAATTACTACCGGTCCGTACATTTTTACTAAATGTTTGAGGCCACTAGTAAAATTTTGGCGTGGAAACGGTATAAAAGTTGTTTTGTATTTAGATGATGGATTTGGCATGAGTCCAGATGAAAATACATGTAATGAGCAATCGTCCTTCGTAAAAAGGTCTTTGATTGATGCTGGTTTCCTTATTAACGAGGAGAAGTCTGTTTTTAAACCTGTTACCGAGTTAGAATGGTTGGGAATAGTTTGGAACTCGAAAGAATACAAATTATCTATTACTCAACGTCGAGTTGACGATTTGATTTTCTCATTTAATGTAATTTTGGCTAAATTTCCCTATGTTACAGCTAGATCTTTAGCTCAGGTTGTAGGTAGAATTATTTCTATGACTCCCGTAATCGGAAATGTGGCTAGAATTATGTCAAAGTTCTGTTACATGGAAATTGAAAGTAGAATTGGGTGGGATATTCCCATTACAGGGTACAAACCCGTCGAGGTTTTATCAGAGTTAAAGTTCTGGTTAGAAAATGTCACCATGATTAACTATCGTAATTTATGTCATTACAGTAAATCTTCTGTTGTCATATACTCAGATGCTAGTAATATTGCCGCTGGTGCATACACCGTTGAATTAGAAAATAAGATTTTCCATAAGATGTGGACATGTAGTGAAACGGTACAAAGCTCCACATGGAGAGAGCTGAAAGCTATAGAGTTGGCCCTTTTTTCTTTTAAGAATAGTTTCACAGGAAAAACTATAAAGTGGTTTACTGACAATCAAAATTGTGTCAAAATTGTTAATTCGGGAAGTATGAAAGAAAATCTTCATGTTATAGCAAAATCTATTTTTTCATTTTGCATTCAAAAAGGAATATCAATTGACATTCAATGGATTCCCAGAAAAGAAAATGAAAAGGCTGATTATATCAGCAAAATGGTTGATTTCGAGGACTGGGGAGTCACACATATATTTTTCAATTTTTTAAATGATATGTGGGGTCCTTATTCGATTGACAGGTTTGCAAGTGTCGAAAATAGAAAAGTTATGAGATTTAACTCCTTATTTTGGCAACCTGATTCTGAAGCAGTTGATGCATTTTCTCAAGTTTGGACCAATGAAAATAATTGGCTAGTTCCACCAATTAATCTTGTGATACGATCGATTAAACACATTATAGCTTGTAAAGCTCGAGACACGTTAGTTGTGCCTAAGTGGATTTCTGCTGCATTCTGGCCTTTGATATTCGATAAACATCTGATTTATCAAGATTACGTAAAAGATGTTATTGTGTTTAAAAATACTGATGGTATTTATAAGCAAGGTTCGAATAAGAATACGATATTCGGAATTGAACCGTTTGGTTCGCCAGTTTTGGCTGTTTTGCTAGATGCATCTTAGACATGGCCCTAATATATATAGATATATTTTAGCAGGCATGGTCTGTTTGTGACATGGCCCTAATATATATATAGATATATTGTAGCAGTCATGGTCTGTTTGTGACATGGCCCTAGTATATGTATATTGTAGCAGGCATGGGTGTTTATGTTGACATGGCCCTAGTATCGGTAATGATATTGTAGCAGGCTTGGTTTTTTATTTGACATGGCCCTAGTATCTATAATGATATTTTAGCAGGCATGGTAATTTGTTTTACAGTTTATGGCCCTAGTATCTATAAAGATATTGTAGCTGGCGTTGAAATATTTGAATATATATTATATTTTACTGTGTATAGAAATCTGAAATATGCTAATAATTCGTCCTCTGTATATGTATATAAAATGTTATTGCAATTTTACGTTTTTCAGATATTTTTTCAGTAGGACATTGGTCAGACTTTAATTCACAAGTTGCCTCTAATAATGATCTCAGCAGTTTGTTCAAACAGTTACCAGAATTCCTTCTTTCGTCCAAGGCTGCGAGTACTCAGAAGAAATATAGATATGCCTTCAATTCATGGTGTAAGTGGACTAGTCAATATTCTTTTTCACCATTGCCAGCATCTCATTTACATATTTCTTTATATTTAATTCATTTGTCTGAAACTGCAAAATCGGTTTCAAAATTAAATGATGCTTTTTACGCCATAAAATGGGCACATAAATTAGCTGGCGTTGCTGATCCCAGTGAAAATAATCTAGTTGCATCTGTTCTTGAAGGGGCTCATAGAAAAATAGGTCATTCAGTTGTCAAAAAAGAACCTATCACACCGCATATTTTGAAAAATATTGTATGTAAATATGCTAATAATACTTGTAATTTAAAAGATTTAAGAATAGCATGTATGTGTTTATTAGCCTATGCTGGCTTTTTAAGATTCTCCGAGTTAGCTAACTTGAGAAGGTCTGATATACAGTTTTCCCCTACTTACCTTACACTTCATTTAGTCAAGAGTAAAACTGATGTATATAGGGAAGGGAAAGATGTTGTCATTTCAAAAACAGGGAATATTACATGCCCGGTAGATGTACTTCAGCGTTATCTAAAGTTAGCTAACATTCCTGAAGAATCGAATGATTTTATTTTTAGATCTATTTGTTATTGTAAATCTTTGAATATATACAAACTTAGAAAGAGTAGTCATATTTCTTACACCAGAGCCAGAGAGTTATTGTTATCTGCACTTGACAGTTTAGGTCTTGATAAAAAACAGTTTGGCTTACATAGTTTGAGGTCAGGAGGAGCTACTGCCGCGGCAGAAGCTGGAATAGATGACCGGTTGTTTAAGAAACACGGGAGATGGAAAAGTGATAAAGCCAAAGATGGTTATGTTAAAGAGAGTATACTCAACAGATTGTCAGTATCTAAGAATTTAGGATTGTAATTTATATTGTTTGTCCCCCCTTTTTCTTTATGTCCCTTTCTTTATCAATCGAAGCTTTCTGTGCTGTCGGGGCGAGCTGATAACCAAAAACTGTGTTGAGTTTTTACTTTGTAAATGCTTTATGATCGTTTGAAGTATTGAATAAGAACATAAATGTATTTATAAAGGTTACTCGGGAACACGTGTATTTGTTTACTTTTAACACGTGTGTTTAAATCAAAACATGTTTATGTTTAATTTGATTGGACCATCAGTAAGTTATTACCGGTTTAAGTTATATCAATCATGATAACTTCATGCTAGAATTTTAGCGCTAAAATTATAATAAGATATCTAGAATTGTCATTCGAGGTTCGCCTATCCGACAGAAAGGTTCGTTTTCCCACCCACCCACCCCTTTTATTAAGACTTCATAGGAATGTGAATCAGTATGTTATGTAGAAAATAGTTGATAAAATACATGTATGTAAATCGAAATGATTTTTTCTTCAACTTATAGAACATTTTTCTATTGTAGATTGTGTTTATATGTGATGGCAGCGGTCGATGACAGCAAATTGGACATTTGTTTATTGTTTATAATAAAAATAAGCTTTCTGTGCTGTCGGGGCGAGCTGATAACCAAAAACTGTGTTGAGTTTTTACTTTGTAAATGCTTTATGTTCGTTTGAAGTATTGAATAAGAACATAAAGTGAGAGGTTTAGCGCTATAAAACCAGGTTCAATCCACTATTTTCTACATTTGAAAATGCCTGTACCAAGTCAGGAATATGACAGTTGTTGTCCATTCGTTTGATGTGTTTTGTCATTTGATTTTGCCATGTGATTAGGGACTTTCCGATTGAATTTTCCTCGGAGTTCAGTATTTTTGTGATTTTACTTTATAGTATGCAAAATTTGGAGAGCGTTAAATAATTCTGACAATATCACAATGAAATAAAATAAAAGAATGCTTCATAAAAAATAGTATATAATTTATTTATATAACCATGATGCAACAGATAAAACAAGTTTTAAAGTTATTTGCAATATTTCTAATGCCGGTTATCTTGAACTAAGTAAACTATATAAATCCCTATAAGTAAACTATTTAAAATCCCTATAAGTAAACTGTTTCAAACCCCTATAAGTAACCTATTTAAAATACTAATATTTCATATCCCTTTAAGTAAACTATTTCAAATCCCTATAAGTAAACTGTTTAATATCCCTATAAGTAACCTATTTCAAATACCAATAAGTAAACTATTTCAAATCCCTATAAGTAACCTATTTCAAATCCCTATAAGTAACCTATTTCAAATCCTTATAAGTAAACTATTCCATATCCCTATAAATAACCTATTTCAAATCCCTATAAGTAAACTATTTCAAATCCATATAAGTAACCTATTTCAAATCCCTATAAGTATATTTTAAATCCATATAAGTAACCTATTTCAAATCCTTATAAGTAAACTATTCCATATCCCTATAAATAACCTATTTCAAATCCCTATAAGTAAACTATTTCAAATCCATATAAGTAACCTATTTCAAATCCCTATAAGTATATTTTAAATCCATATAAGTAAGCTATTTCAAATCCATATAAGTAAACTATTTCAAATCCATATAAGTGAACAATTTCAAATCCCTATAAGTAACCTATTTCAAATCCATATAAGTAAACTATGTCAAATCCATATAAGTAACCTATTTCAAATCCCTATAAGTAAACTGTTGCATATCCCTATAAGTAAACTATTTCAAATCCCTTTAAGAAGCCTATTTCAAATCCATATAAGAAAACTATTTCAAATCCCTATAAGTAAACTGTTTCAAATCCCTATAAGTAAATTATTTCAAATCCCTATAAGTAACATATTTCAATTTTAAAGAATTCATTTTGGAAATTGCCACATGCATTTTCGTCATGGAAAATATAGACATCGTTTAACGTTACATGATCCAGAAGAGTACACAATAGGATCATTGCAGCCGTCTCCCCATTGGTGAGTGAATTGTAGTTTCGGAAATCGGTGAATCTTTTAATATTATGTTCCGGTTGATCTAGCTTTAAAACCGTACACATGCTGTCTAAATAGAGATGACCAGGATATTGACGAACGAACTTATCTCGACGAATGAACGCAATGGGAGCGGTAATTGTATGTTTACAAACGTACTTAAAACGTAAAAGATTTTATCATGTTTAAGGTGTATTTGGATGCAATCACGTTAATAGATAGAAACGCATAAAATATACCGATTTAAAAAAAAAGGTTTTCATAATATAAATGGAAGACGTTTACAAGTTTCCGAAAGTGTTACATATCATACGATACAATGTGATTGTTTGTTATTGTTGAAAGCACGATGAAATAAATAAATTTTGTGTATTTACTGTCTTCTGATTGGTTAAAAGTATTACCTTTATTTTCATTGTTGTCAATTTTTATGGCGACACGCCCACTCTGACGTTGTGTATTCATACGCCAACATGTGTGTACGTTGTTATTGTTATATAAATAATATAAAAAGCTCTTTGAACCTTATTTTTGATAGAAATTTATTTATAATGAATAACAATAATTTATTTTGAATTTATTGAACCATAAAATTAATTTTTGACTCTTCACATTTTACATAATCCGCTTCGCGGATTATTCAATGTGAAGAGTCAAAAATTAATTTTATGGTTCAATAAATTCAAAATAAATATTAGTCATTCATTAAATGTACATCACACATAGGATTATTCGAGTGCAACGACAACTTTTGCAAAGTTCAAACAAATACAAATGCAAAACTTTGATGATTTGATGTAATTTACAAAGTTATTGTTGTCCAATCGTATGTTTGCTCTGTGTTTTTATTGGGTATTCAAGTTTTAGGAAAAACAATCTATCAGATTATAATAAAAAAGAAAACCTATAGCGTCTTGTACCAATTTAAACAAAAACTATTTCTGTTGCAAACAATTTTTTATCATACCTGTCATCCTCTAACGATGGAAAAACTTTTTAATGTAAAAAAAACTAGTCATAAGAGAAAATAAAGTATTTTTTAAGGGAATTATTTAGACTAAAGGCATTAGTGATCCATTAATGACGCATACGAAGACATTAAATATATTTTTAAAGCCTTACAACTATTAAGATGAAGAAAAAATATATGTCAAAATGACCACAGGCGCTTGTGGGGTAGAATCCCCTTTTAAGTGTTTAATCTTTATTAATTATTCTTGATTAAAATATTAAATTTTCAATGTTTATACCACTTATCTATCTCTGCTGCGTATGTCTCACCTTGTTTCGAGTGAATTTACCACCTCTGTTACAACCCCTTATTTTACTATCCATACTTAAAACAACATTTTAGTATGGATATCAAACCATGTCAGAGGAGATGCAATGAGTAAGTGCATAGTGAATAGGATGCAATGAGTAAGTCCATAGTGGATAGGATGCAATGAGTAAGTCCATAGTGGATAGGATGCAATGAGTAAGTCCATAGTGGATAGGATGCAATGAGTAAGTCCATAGTGGATAGGATTAAAATTTATAAAGTCTTAACACCTGTTCCTTCGGGAGAATTTATGAACCGCAACATACTTCGTCTGACATGGTTTGTTTGATAAAAATGCAAAATTTTGCGTAGGAGATTGTTGAAGTACGTTTCACTGAGTTGAGTATTTAAACTATCATTGATTTAAAAAAATAATCAGAAAGCAAGTAATAACATTGATAAGAATATCATTTAGATGATGGTACATCAACCTTTGTTTATTTCGGAATTCAGATGTATTGCCTTTCAGTTTAGCTGAACTCAGGGGTATTCTGTCCTTCCCTAGGGACTAGTCATTTGCATCCTGAAGGAGGGAGGAGGACATTAAAGGGGCCTCGAAAATTTTGGGTATAGGAAGGGGTGGTATTCAATATTTCAATACTTCAAAAGCATCGAAAAAAATTTACAATATTTTAGCTGTTCTGTATTTCACACATGAACAAATTATAGCTAATTTGATAAAATACTTCAAATCAGTATCTGACTATTCAACAGAAGTGACTAACACTTGATTCATATGTCATATCTATAAATATTGTGTCATAATTTTTGGCTTCAAACTTCATTTCAATGTTTATGTTATATGCATGCGAGTCTTGACCATCTTGTTTGTGTTTTGGACATGTAGAATGACAATAATAGGGAATAATGGTTTGATGTCTTTCAGGTTTTTTTATAGGTTTTTCTCGAAATTCTTCTTAATATTATACCCCTTTCCATATCATAAAAGCACTGATAATATTAATAGTTGTTTCGTTACATGGTTTATCGCAAAACTTATGATTGAGCATATATTTCGATGGTTCAAGATGATATCTAGGAGTCAAGTGTTGCATTTTTAATACGTCTTAACGTTAATAATTTCCTTTATGACCTGGAGGTATGGAGTCAGGCGACCCACAACCAACG